TTTAGAATTAAAGTGTACAGGTGTCTCAAGCTGATTTTAAAGCACATTGAAAAAAAATGAGATCAAGTTATATGTGATAAGTAAAGTAAATGTGGTAAAGAGTTAATTTATGATCTAGGACTTAGTTATATGTACAGTTCATTTAAGGAGTCCCAGGGGGCGCAGTGGATAAACCCTGTACTGCTAACCAACTGCTCTGTGGAAGAAAAGATCTGGCGTTCTGCTCCTGTGAACACTACAGCCAAGGAAGATCTGTGGGGTAATTCTATGCTGCCGTATAGTGTTGCTGTGAGTCAGAATACAATCGATAACTGCAAGAAAGGCATGGGGGCAGTGTCTTAACCTCCTTTGACTTCTCAAGGAAAAAGGAGAATCAAATTCAAAAGCAACCCAAAGCCGGACAATTACTATAGTTTCTTTAAAGACTTCTCTGTGCTACAGATCGAGTCCATCCTCTTCAGATTTTTTCTGTATAACAATATCAATATCAACAGCAAAGCCTACTGGTCTTGCCACTTTCCTATTTATTAATCTCTGTTGATTTGTTATCTGTAAAATGAAACCCAAATTTGTTAGCCTAGCTAAGACTTTATTATCATTCACTATTGGAACTGAGGTTACTCATTGGCTATCATTGCTCTCCATACTCTTAACTCCAGCAGCTAATAGTTCTCTCACTGGCTGTTAGTCCATTGACTATGAAACTTAAATCTAGCATGTGTCTTTGGTAACAGGTGAGTTTTTTACATTTTAATTTACCTCACGGCTTTTTGAGTTTAAGACTGTTTACAAGAGAGAAGAATCAAATATATATCTAAATGCCACTCTATTTCTGGTAGAGCTGAATTGGAGAACTCATCTCGCATCTGGAGTCATTACCTTACTGGGTTTTACCATATTTTGCTTGTACATATCTCTCACAGAAATTGTTCTGTTTTTGAAACTGACCCTGGTTCAACCAAGAATATAAGGACATAATTAAAGCAGCTGTGAATATTCCTCAGATTTTGACTGTTCTACAAAAGGATCAGTCAGCCAATATGTGTATCTTTTGGCATTTATAAGCACTGCATACAAAATATTTAGGCTTCACTTACTGATACAAAATATATGGCTTTGTTTTAAATCTGAAATAGTCATGAACGTAGGTTTCTCTTCCTAATGTTAAAGTAATGGTTATTGATAAATGTCATGTTGTTGTTAGTGTTGTAGAGTCAGCGCCAAATCACAGCAAGGAGTGGCTAATGAGTTTGAACTGCCGACCTTGCGATTCAGACTGAACGTGCAGTCCAGGGCATTATTCTGCAGCACCACATCAGGACTCCATAAATGTCCTAGAAGTTGTTATGTGTCACTGATTTCATTAATAAACCTTTTTTCTATGGCATTTGATTAAATGCATTATAATCCAAAATTGCCATAAAATTATTGCATTTAAAGTTTTTACTCATAAAATTTTAGCATATAAAACTACTTTGGGGGAGTGGGGTGGCAGTAGCAGAATTTAGGAGTAAATGGTTCTATTGAATTTTTGGCAATTAAAAAATAATGAGATTATCAGTGCATGTTCAGGACTGTACATTTTCTTCACAAAATAGTCTAGGTAAAAGTACATCATTTCATTACTGCAGGTTCAAATAGAATTGTTATTCCGATAAAATAATGGTGTCTTAATTTAAAGTAGTCATCACTTAGTTTGGAGTTGTAGTGCAGTAATTTACTTGATATGGCTCTTGTAACCATAGTCTATAACTGCCGCCAAAAGACTGGATGTATTTCATCCCTGCCTGATGGGTTTGGGTAAGAGATGGTGGAGAAAGGTGCTAATATAGTGTTACATGATTCTGTTGTGAATGATTGTTAACAGGCTTAATTGTAAGAACTTGAAACTCTCACATAAGGATTGGTCAGTTTTGCCAACGTGGTGGGTATAAAATGAACCATTTCAGAAATAGGAATGGATCACACTACCATCAAGAAATAAAAGCCAGAAGCAGAGTGTATCTTTTGGACCACAAGATCCCTGAGTGTGGAACTTCCTGATTCCAGAAGAAACAGATGTGGTGGCAGTAGAGGCAGCATCTCCAAGAACGTGAGACAGAGTGGTGGGCTTCCTGGCCCATGGAGCAAGTAAAACTTAGCACATTTGGCTGGAAGCTCACTTGCAGAGTAGGGTGCCTTCAGGCACTTACTTGGGGAGGCGATGGAACTAGAGCTGAGCACCTTCCAGCTGAGGCCATGGCCATGTGGAGTGTCCTTTGGGCATTTATCAGCACTGCTAAAAGAGTCACATTGCCCAAGGGGCCACTCAGCTGAGCAGCCGAGAACCAGAGAGAGATGTTCTTGTAAGCAAGGTTGAGAAAAGGTTGTTTTTATGAGAAGAACTATATCCTGAGCATTTCTGATCATGAATTATGACTTCCTAGCTTCCCTGATAAATCTCAGGATTGTATTTTCTGTGAGCTCTGTGTGACCATTGCAATGAATTATTGAGGCCAGCAGAGAAATAGAGTGTTGTGGGAGGGATGGTTGGTGTAAAATTGGTAAAGGAGGTTGGAAGGTAGGGGAATGTCTGACCTTAACCTCATAGCAATCCATCTTGGCCTGATGTTGAGTTTTATTCTCCTTTCCCCTTGTGAAATCAGAGGAAGTCAGACACTTCCCATACACTCTCATAGAAGCTTAGAGTCATGGTTTCATGGAACATCCCAGTTAATTGGCCTAATGTTGTGTATTGTGCTTCTCTTCTACCTCCTAGTTCTGTGCATAACGACTAGGGTCTTAAAAACTTGCGAACAGCCATCTAAGTCACCATAATTGTTTTAGTGCAACAGAGGAAGAAAGGGAGTCTGAAATAAAAGAAGGTTATGAAACGTAAGAGTAGTTGCCTATATGAAATACTGCTTCCTTTGCCATGAAACCAGAAGAACTGGTGCCCAGCTACAATTACAGAGCATTTTGATCAAGATCCTATTGAACAATCTGATCAAAAGAAGAGAACAGGATTTCATATGCTCCTGAAATCCTTGTTTTGTGGGGCTGGATGAACCCCTGAAACTATTGTCCTGAGATCATTTTTAACCTTTAAGCGTTAAACCAAAAATACCCCTTGAATCCTTAAAACCAAACAATGGTGGTAGCGGTGTTGTGTCGTGGAGTCGATTCTGACTCATAGTGACCCTGTATAGATAGGGGTTTTAAGCTATAAATCTTTATGAGAGCAGAAAAACTCATATTCCCCCGTGTAATGACTGGTGGTTCCGAACTGCTGACCTTGAGGTTAGCAGCCCAACTCAGAACCACTACCTTACCAGAGCTCCTTAAAACCAAACAATACTTTAGCTTAACTAATAAAGACTGTCTGCCTTGAGCTTTGTGTGCTTTTAAAAACTATGGTTGTGGTGGTCCTGTGCTGTCAAGTCAGTTCCAACTCAAAGCAATCCTGTATAGGATTTCCAAGGCTGTGAATATGGGAACATAAAGCCGTGGAGATGCTGATGGACTCAAACTGCTGGGTTAGTGACTTAACAGCCCTACACATAACCCAAGAGTCCTGGTGTGGCGCTGTGGGATTATTGCGCTGGACTGTGAAGTCATTTGAACCACAAGATTGGTGGTTCAAGCTCACCAGCTGCTCCTCAGAAACCTTATACAGGGTCACTATGGGTCAGCACTTAACAACAACATGCATAACCCACTATACTACCAGGACTCCTTTCTTTAAAAACTATGGTGGTGCTAGCAGTAATGTGCCACTGAGTCAGTTCTGACTTATAGTCACCCTGTATAGGGTTTCTGAGGCTGTGATCTTTATGGGAGCAGAAAGCTTCATCCTCCCACAGAGCAACTGGTAGATTCGAACTAACCATGCAGTTAGCAGCCTACTTTGCAATTCACTATACTATCAGGGCAAGATCAAATTGATAATGATGTTGGTTATGTGCCATGGAGTTGGTTCTGACACATAGCGACCCTGTACAGGGTTTCTGAGGCTGTAAATCTTTATGGAAGCAGAAAGCCTCATCTTTCTCCCACGGAACAGCTGGTAGTTTCAAACTGCTGACCTTGAGGTTCACAGCCCAATTTATAACCACTATGGTACCAGAGCTCCTTTGATAATGGCCACTCAAAAAGATAAGGGAATTTAGAGGGTATTGAGTTGATGTTAATGGTGGAGGAACTACTGACAAAAAGAGAAGGAGAATGGTTGCACAAGTCAAAAAATGTAATCAATGCCTCTGAAATGTACATGTAGAAACCACTGAATTGATTGACGTTGTGTGTGTATATGTATGCGCAACATTTTTTTAATGTAGTAATTTCTTTGATCAAAAAGGGAAGTAATGAATTCATATAGTAGCAGTATTTATTAAATTACATAACATATATTGCATACAAAACACTTCTGAATGATTCAGAATAATACACCTGTATTGTTATGCTTTATACCAGAAAAGTCAATGTGCCATATGATGCAGTCCCCTACTCACAGTTCTTTAAAATACACTGTCTTGACATTTCACATTAATGACAATAGTAAAACATTTACAATCCAACTATTTTAAGCATCCAAAACATACATCTGTCAGTAAGAACTACAAGATGCTAGGCAAGATTAACTAACACTGGCTGTGATGGTTAAGGTTATCAACTTGGCTGGACCAGGCTTCTTGGTAGCTAGGCAGTTATGTAATGGTGTAGTCATCCTCCATTGTGTGATCTGATGTGGGCTCTTCACATACTGCTAATTTCAGTGTGACAGCTTGGTCTTGCAGATCTAACCATGCTGGTAAGTGAGGACTAGGTGTAAATGTGACAAATCCAGGCAAGTATACATTTCAAAAACATACTTCTGCATTAAAAAGATGTTTGGGAGTATGCTTTAGTCCTTTTAGATGTTTGTAGGCTCCTTGGTCCATTATGACTTTTTATTCTTACTTCTGCTACGTTGGTGTTTATATTTTAAATGATTTCATATCATATGCTTCAATATTTTCCAGTTGAAAATGAAGATGAGGCTGAAAGAATTCTTTTTTCCTATGGGTATGGTGCTAATGTTCCCACAACAGCCAAAAGACGACTAAAGCAAAGGTAAAATATCAATCTGTATTTGTTTTACTTATTCACTCAAGCTATGTGTAATTACATAGCACTTTTTGGTAATGTCCTTTGTTGAGTGACAAAGTAAATCTATTCATGGTATGCATAAATATTAAATAGTCACAAAATAAAACACAGTAAGAATCCATTTAAAATATAGTAATAATAATGTATTTCATGTTTTTAAAATGTGTTTAATAACCAATAGAGCAGAGGTGTACATTAAAATTAGATTTAGATTTAGTGCTAATGAAGCTGTTTAAACTTTATTTGACATGAATTCCAAATTCTAAATTCTTTCATGTTAACAAATTTCAGATTAAAATTAATTAGTCATGCTTCCTTATTTTCTGTACCTCTTGATTTTTATTTACCTGCCTGCCTCCCTTGACAAGCACTTTACATTGAGTGTGTGGCAAGCACATATATTGCAGCTGAAAGAACAAATATGCAAAGCTTTTTAAAGACCAAGAAAATGTTTGGAAGATCTACCAGCTGTCTTGTGAGATACTGACTGTTTAAAGCACAGTAACAGAAAATTGTGCCTACAGTAATCTGTGTTCTAGCTGGCTTAGCTGATTCTTTTTCTTATCTCCTCTTGTCCTACCTAGAATAATCCTTCACATGGCTGCTATGCCAATCTTTTTTATTATTATTATCATGGCTTTTACAAAAACTCTCACTGCCTACTTTGCTACCACATCAAATCCAGATGTTTCTGCCAGACTTTAAGCCTTCCTTAAAAAACCCCTCCTCCCCAGCCTCATACACTCTCTACCCAACATGAAAGTAGGTATTTGTTGTTGTTAAGTGCTGTCAAGTTGGTTCCAACTCATAGCCACCCCCTTTATAGGGTTTCTAAGGAGTAGCTGGTGGGTTTGAATCACTGACCTTCTGGTGAGCAGTTCAGTACTTATCCTACAGTGCCACACCTGGACTCCTGGGAGTAGGCACATCTCTATTTCCAAACATCTGTTTTCTGCATGCCACACAATAGAGCATTTATCTTATATCATTTACTATAGTTTCACATGTAATTTCTCCAGATAGATGAAAAGTTTATTAAGGTCAGCAACCACATGTTACTGTTTATTCACCATGTTCTCAACCTCGCACAATACAGGATCCAAAAACCAAACCTATTCCCTTCTGGCTTGCTCCAACTCATTGTGACCTTATGGGACAGACTGAAACTGCCCCATGGTGTTTCCAAAGCTGTAATTGTTCATGGGTGCTGACTGCCAACATCTTCCTCCCTAGGAGGGGATGCTGGGTTCAAATTAACAGCCTTTTAATAGCCAAGTGCTCAACTACTGAACCACCATGGCTCCTTTACAGTGCACGACACCTATTGGTATAATGTTTCTTCATCTGAGTATTGAAAATTCAAAGCTGTTTATTATCTTTTGTTTTTATATTGATAGAGATTTTTAGAGGCATTATATAGAGATGAGGCTTTCTGCTCCCGTAAAGATTTACAGCCTCGGAAACCCTGTACAGGGTCACTATGAGTCGGACCCGACTCCAACAACAACATATACTAAGGGGAAAAAAAAATCCCGTCTGAACTAATTCTTTGGTAACAACTTTGAAGTGATGGCTCAGAAATTAAAATGTCTTCATGGCTATTTTAAAGTGATGTAAAATATGTAAGTTTATGGGAAGTAACAAAAGGATGCATAGAACTTGTATCTCTTGTTGGTTAGACTTAAGTGTCTGCCAGATGGAGATCAAGAATAGATGACTACAAAGTGTCAATTTGTAGATGGACTCAAAAGTATCAATTCTGTCTGGAAAAGAAGCAGATGATTTCTAACTTGTTGTTAAGTGCCATTGAATCAGTCTGAGACATAGCAACCCTGTACAGAGAGATCTGGCTGGTGGGTTTGAACCAGATTTGAAGTTAGTAGTCCAGTGTTTATCCTACAGTGCAACACCAGGACTCTATTTCTTAGTTATTGTAGTTGTTTTTGTTGTAAGTGCTGTTTTAACTCATAGTGACCCTGTTTAGGGTTTCTGTGGAGCAACCGGTAGATTTGAACTGCTAACCTTATGGTTTGCAGACCAGTGCATAGCCTACAGCACCACAACTAAATTAGGTAGGTATTACATAAGAAATCAAGTGTGGTCCCATCCCGTTTTCAGACTCTGTGTAGCCCCTCCAAAGGTCACTAAATTGCCTAGAAATTTTTGTAATTTTTAGCATGCATAACTCGGCTTTTTAGTATGATATTACCTAGGGAAGATTAGGAATGTAGTTTTTTAAATATAAGATTTCTGTATCAGTGGTAAATAAATTTAGCTAAAATACTGAAAATACTAAGTTTAGAGGAAAATGTCCAGTTTCTTCTCTATTTTAGCATCTGGATTATCTCCAAAAGAATCTTTATCCCAAGAAAAAAAAATTTTAAAAATGCTGTTGTAAGCTTTCTTTAGCCCCAAATATTCTAAAATTGAAAACAATTATTGCTATTACCTTACTATTTTTTTAATGAATTTCCAAAAACAGAATTTGGTTTCTTAACATTCAAAGTGAAGATTTAAGGAACCACAACTGATTCATATTCGGAATAATCTAACTGTCCAAATATTTCTAAAGATTTTCTCATAAGACTATCTATGTGCCTTGAACAAGTGCCTAATGGGCATGCTATTAATACCTCTTGCCAGCTGGTGCCAGGCATTCTTCTCATGGTGAACCAGAGAGTTATTTTGAGGAAGTGCTTCTCAGGTCATCTAAACTGAGTCGGGGGGGGGGGGGGGGAATCTAGATGTTTCATTTATGCATTCCTTCATGCATTCATTCAGTGACTTTTGCTGAGTGCCTACTGCATACACAGAATCGAACAGAGACTCACAAGCTAGCTACTTCAGAGCCTGATGCACTTCTGAAGTTTGCAAAGTCCACATGGTTCATTCTGCATGGGTATTGTAAAGAAGGCAAATTGTTTTATGCTCTCTTTATGTTTCATTTAACATGAAAGCAATAGAGTAGTATATAACCTTTCAAAGAATCTGTATTTAATGCTTCACATTTTAAATTTAAGTGGTGGAAACTTAAGGTGAATTCTAAAACAACTCAAAGGAGAAAATGAAATATTTGCATACTTATCATTTTACATCAAATTTTACATTTTATTATACAAAATAAAATAAAATCTCAAAGGAGCTTATTTTTACTACTATGTAATATATTCAGAGCCCTGATGTGATGCTTAGGAAAGCACTGTACTGCTAACAGCAAGGTCAGTGGTTCAAATGCCACAACAGCTCCTTGAAAACACCATACAGTTGCTGAGACTCAGAACCAACTCAAAAGCACTTAACGACAACATACTATGCATTCTAGTTGTGCTCAGTTTTGTTTAATATCCCACATAGTTGACAACCATTAAGAAATTTCTAGGGTAACAGTTCATTGGAGTTGGATTTCTGATTATAAAAGTAATATGTGTATTTTAAAACATTTAGAAAATCTTGTTTTTTAAACTTTGTGAATTGAATGAAGGTTTATAGAAAAGATCATCAATTTGTTTATCTGTTCTTCCATTGCTAATCATTTAGGCTGTCTCCATCTTTTGTTATTGTGAATGATGCTGTGGTGAAAATTGGTGTGCATCTATTTACTCGTGCCCTGGCTCTTTTTTCTTGTGGTCTACCAAGTAGAGGGAGTGCTGGGTCATACAGTATTTCTGTTTCCAGCTCTCCAAGGAAGCATCATACCATTTTCCAGAGTGGTTGAAATATTTCACAGTCCCTCCAGCAATGTAAGAGGGTCCCAGTCTCTCCACACCCTTAACAACATTTGTTGTTTTCTGTTTTTAAACTTTGCTGTTAATGCTCTTGTGAGAGATCTCTTTGTTTTGATCTGCATCTCTCCCATGGCTAATGATAGTGAACATTTCTTCATATGTTTAGTGGTTGCCTAAATGTCTTTTTACCTGAGTGTGTGTCCTTTGCCCACTTATTAATTGGGTTATTTGTCTTTTTCTTGGAGAGGTGTTGTAGTTTTCTATAAATTTTAAAGATTAGTCCCTTATCATTGCAAAAATATGTTTCCCAGTCTGTGGGCTCTCTTTTTACTCTTAGCAAAATTGTTTGATGCACCAAGTGTCTGATTTTTAAGAGGTCCCTGATTTTGTTTTCTGCTGTTTGTTTTTAGTTATGCTTGAAAATGTATTTATGCCATATGTTAGAGCCCTTAAGTGTGTACCTCACTCTTGTATATTACCATCCCGGTCACCCAAGTTAACATGTGTCTACCCTCTAGCCAGTGAATTACTCTCCCTTCCTTCAAACCCCTGGTAACCACCAAAGAATGTTTCTTTTAGCATGTTATCATTTCTTGAGTTTTAAAGGTCTCATATAATATTTGTCCTTGTGTGACTGACTAATTTCACTCCTGGTGTGGCACTGTAGAATCAGCACTGGACTGCAAACCACAAAGTTGGCAGTTCAAACCCACCAGCTGTGG